GCTGCAAACGTGAGCATTTTTGACGATCGTTTCTGTCCAATCTGCTCGTTTTATCGTGTTTAGCCACAGCTGTCGTCGGTTTTTTGTCTGGCAGTGGCAGCAGATATGCGATCAAATTTCTAATTTGAGGCTGTATTACGTCGATTCTGGCACCCAACATCACAACAAGATGATATTTTAAGCTCCTTATGTAGCCAAATCTACGCTGGTTTGAATGGGCCAGCGTAAAAAAATTTTTTCTTTGTTTTGCTGCCTCCAGTTAGCTCTGTGATGTCGGCTGACCCTAGTTACCTGTGGTTGGCCTGGCCGTGCGTCACTCAGAAAACAACAGGCCAATCAGAAGAGAGGCTCATGAATATTAATTAGACAGGCCAAAATCGACCTGTTCTCAGCAGAGCTCCTGAGAAAGGAGCTGTAAAATTTTAATATATTGAGATGGTTTTTGGTACTTATACCGCAAATATATATTCTTAAGGACATCAAACCCTAAAATAAAACTCCAGAAAGGTGTACAATATGGGACCTTTTAATAAAAATAATATCTTTTAAACACAGGCCTATTAGACCAGGACTGAGAGAAGAGCAAAAAACATTTGAAGATTTTGTTGAAGAATATCTCAAAACAGACCAAACTATTCTCCAACATGAGCATCAGGTATGAGCAGCATTCAAAAAGTAACTCACACAGTTTAAGTGTGTTCTTAGCAATATCCTCTCTATTTTACAGACTAATACACAAATCAGGGGAGCAGAGAAGAAGAATTTCCTTCGTAAAGGAGAAGGAGCGTCTAGAATTTCGAAGGGTAAGGACTGCTCCCAAAGACTCCAGAGGAGACGCTCTGTTAGTCCACAAATGCTGAACATGAAGATCAGTCAGCAGATGGTATGTCCCACTGAATTTCATCAGAAAGAGATGCCAAATAGGAGCAGTCCTGGACTGAAGGGTGTAGGAAACCTCAGTGACCAAAGATCGGGCCTGCAAGACTATCTAAAGAAGTCCATATCTCTACAAGATGATGATTTATCATCAAACAACAAAGGGAAATTCAAAGCTTTGACTGCTAATAACAATGCAATCTCACTTAAAATTAAGCACAGTGTAGGAGTCGTGAGGAATTATGGTCAAACCAATGGAAGCAAGTCAAATGGATCTGCTCTGGCACAAAGTAGAAAAAGTGTTGGTTTTAAAAAAATGAATGACCACATTGTCAAAATCGCTGAGAAAACGTGTCTAACTACAAACTACAGCCAGAGTGGATATACATCTAAAGAAGTCAGTCTAACTGACGAGGTGATGGAGTCACTGGCTCTTAGCGATTCTCGCAACAACACTACCAGTGAGGACGGACCCAACTCTCAGTCTCAGCAGCCGTTACCTCTTTGCCTCTCAAGGCACATAGATCACAAAGATCAGAGTTTGGATTTGTCAGACGGAGACTACGCTAGTGATGCCCCGAGTGAGACTCGATTCAGTGAAGAACATCGCACTTCTACTCCTACGTCCAGTTCCTCAAGCTTCAGCAGCGATTCTGAACTCAAGAGCTTACAGGGGTCTATGGCTAACTGCTCCAAAAAAACAGAAGAAAGGGGGACCGACAGTGACTTTAGACAACCTTCTGCTCCTGAACCCCTCACAAAGATGTTCCCAAAAGTCAAAGTTACTCCAGAAGCCACCACTCATGTCATGGGACTAGGGCAACCACATACACCACTCAGGTTTTGTAGAAAGATTATACATTTTCAAAAAAAAAATTTTTTTTGTTGGTATTTTGAAAAACTCTAGACGTCTAGCTCAAGTTTCTACATCTGATTTAACATATTCATGAATTTGACTTAGGGAAGAGATGGGAGAGCATGGTTTTAATGGTGAGGATGGCTGCAGACCTTTGCTCAGGCTTAAGAAAGAACTTCATGAACCTCAGGTAGAATCAACAACACATTTTAGACTGAAGATCACCACTTAACTTCTTAAGGTTCCAAAAAGTTTCTTTTATTTTTACAGCAATTCCATGCAAGATCGATTTTTGGTTCTCCAAAGAACCTTTCACTGAACAGTTCTTAGTGTGAAGAACATTTAACCTTTTTACACTTTTTAACACCTTTTGTGCAGTGAAAAGGTTCTATCCATCTTATTTTTCCTGATTTCTGGCTTCCGGTGTCATTCGCTTCCAGCTATTTTTAGATGGACAAAACAGCTAATTTTGCTGCTTGATATTGCAAACTGGTGTGTCTTACCATATTATTTTAATGTATTATCTTTTGAACACACTGAATTTGTAGTGCAAACAGTTTTACCGTGCACTTTGTTATTCTTCTCATTATTTCGCTACAGCGACTAATGAACTGGAAGTCTTGCACATTCACAGAAAACTGCTTACTTCCGAGTTCTTAACATTTTTCAATGGGGATACACATCCAAACAATACTTAATATGTTTAAATCATTGTGCATGTAGGATCTGAGACAGCAGATCTCATCTCTGAAGCAGAAGCTGATGGTAAGGGAGTCTCACTGGTCGCAGGCCCACAGTCTCCTCCAGAGCCGTGTTGAAGCCCTCACCCGAGAGAACCAGGAGCTTCACAGCAGGCTCAATGTGAACAAAAGATCGCACCAGAGTGCTGGCTCCTCTGCTCTTCAGCCTGGATCATACAACACAGTGAGAGCAAATTTAAACCACTATTTTTCCACTAAAATTATATAAACACATTTTAAATGGAAAGTAGGGTAAAAAAAATTATGAACATATTTGAATGATTAAATATTGAAACATGGAGGGAATATTACCTATTGCAGGTTATGATCTTTACTCAAAAAAAAAAGAAAGAGAAACCTGTTTATATATTGCATATGGTGTTCACTTTTGTATTGTATGTGATTTTAATCTATTAAAAGACTTTGTGGTTATTAATACTGTGCCTCAATGAATAACATATGTTGTACTTCAGTTTGAGAAGAGAAGAGAGGAACCACAGAGGACCCCTCATGTAAGGAGCGCAACTCCGGCCTTTAACAAACCCTCCATCCATAGGACACAACAGGACAATGTTAGTATGCCAACATCATTAATGTGCATTATCAAAAACAATAACTGTTTTTTGATCTGTAAAATATTTTTATAGCTTTAAAGTAAATATGTACTTTTTTTATTTATAGTCATTTGTTAGGTAAGGACCCATACAACTAGTTGAGCTAAACTCATTTCCTGTAAACCCGATGAGGTGTGTAATATGTTCTCGAGTGCCTTTAAGCTCATCAGAAATAATTCATGGTGACTCTCAAAACCCAGTGTCAGATAATTGACTCGGTTCTTTATAATTAATTCATGCATGGGTAATGCATCTACCCATCTCCATTTCATACAGTGTAAGTGTTAAATCCTGATTTTATATTGTAATTGTTTGCCCTGTTTATAATTTATGAACGCATAGAGCTATTCAATATAAATGGCACATTTAGCCAGACCAGTGTATAGCATCACTTTCTTATTCAAATGTGCCTTTTATTGACCCACTTAAGTAATCAGTACTTCTGTGCTGTTTTGTAGTAAACATGTTCTTGTTTTAAGGAAAACAGAACAGAAATACTGATACATTTTTGTGCAGTGATACCTTTGCATTTTATTGAAAGCATCTGGTTTTTCTTCTCCTTGAATGGCCAGTCAAATGGACGTTCTTTTACCAAAGCTAATAGGCTAACAGAATGCACAGACAACTCTTTGAGTAAGTATGTCCTCTCGTGCTTCATCTCCTTTAAATCAACATACAAGTTGTCATCACATATTAGATGTACAGTGTACAGCTTGCCATGTCTTGTGTGTTATGTTTTTCCAAAAAGGAAAGAATCCTGCACTTTCCATTGACAGTCCACTGAAAAATGCCATGATTACACAAGGTGGAAAGGTATTTCTCTTAAGGGATATTTCACCTGATGCAGTCAGCCAATATCAGTACACACAGAATTAGAGCATAAAGTTATGACACACACTTGTACAGTGTTTTATCCAAATGTATCACTCATAATGACAGAATAGTCTGACCCCATTTCTATTATGAAATGTACAACGCATCATAGTATCATAATGACACTTTTGTCCACAGAGAAGTTTGTTTTATCATCATACTGACTGCAATGATACACAAATGGCATCCCAGGCCAGAAAAGACAAAGTACAGGAGGAAACCCGCTATTCGGATGGAAGGGTAATGAAGGTGTTTTGCAATTAGAAATTTTTATTACACAAAGCTTGCAGTACTTTTTCAAAATGCTCTACTTTTCATTAGGTAGAGCGTCTTTTTTGGAACGGATGTCGTGTGATCACATTCCGCAATGGAACGAAGAAAGAGATCGGTGTTGATAAGTCAGTCACTGTTACGTTCTTCAATGGTGATGTTAAACGCACGCTGGCTGACGGGACTGTGGTGTGTATCACGAGTGAATAAGGAAGTCTTATCAAGTCTGTTCCCACAGTTACTGGTGTATTGCAACATTTCAAAATTCACAAATTATTTTGTGGTCATCCACCAGAACACGAACATGTTCCTACAGGCCCAATCCTTTTGGTTTTTGTCTCATGATTCTAAATCTTTTCGTCTGTTCCTGCATTTGGATTCTTTAAATAAGTCTTCAGATCAGGATTTTTTGTTTTTATTTCGTTTTATATTTTGGTTTCTAGTTTCTGTATGATTAAATAATTTCTCCTTTTTTTCAGTTCTTTTTTAGCAGTTATACCAAAGCACCACAAATTACAAATGTAGTTTTTTTTTTTTTTCAGGAATTCTTTTGTTCATTTTTAAATGATTTTTGATCATTTATTGTTTGGATTCAATCTTTTTATCAACATTTTATATCTCTTTTTAGAACTGACTGATCATCTGCCTTATTTATCTGAGCTTATGCTCAGATTTTTTGTGGATAATTTTGGCAATGTTGACAAAAAAAAACTGAGGTTAATAAGCTCAAATCAATGGGGACTATGATCAATCAGTTCCAAAAATAAATACAAAAAGGGGTCATTAATTTTATAAAAAAAAAAAAAAGAGCCGAGAGAAGATTTTATACCCATGTGTGAGCAGAGTTAGTAAATTTTAGTTCAATGCATTAACTAGGTCAAAATGACAGAAACTCAACCTGAGGGTTAAATTAAAAATTAAGCTTTTTAAAATTTAGCAGTTAACAATTTTACCTCTTTACATTTAGATATACTACCATTGTGATGCTCAGACAACACACTCAACTTATCCATCTGGATTGGAGGTTGTACAGTTTCCAAACAACCAAAGAGGTTAGAAAAATAATCTGAAAGACGTTCTTTTGTTGACATACACTTTATAATAATTTTCTAAGTTCTAAATAAAACATGTATCATTATAGTATATTACTTGCTTTCTTTGTAAAGCTTGATTTCTTTGTAATTATTTGAGAAATTTACAGAAAGTTTCAGTGAATTTGGAATTTTAAATGTCTTTTTAAATGTTACATTTTCCTAGAAAAACATCATCCTGATGGTACAAGGGAAATATCCTTCCCAGATGGCACGGTTAAGATTCTTCACTCCGATGGTCGAGAGGAGAGCATTTTTCCAGATGGAACTGTTGTCAAGATATCACAGTAAAATTAATGTCTGCCTTTCCTGTTTGTTTGTTTCTTTTCTTCTTATTATTTACTCCCTTACACATTGTTTCCACAGACATGGGGAAAAGGTGGTGGAGTTTGCTAACGGGCAGAGAGAGATTCATACTTCACAGTACAAGCGAAGGATGTACCTGGATGGAACGGTTAAAACTGTCTACACAAATGGGAGGCAAGAAACAAAGTTCTCATCTGGGAGGGTTTGCATTAAGAACAATGAAGGCATCATTATAATGGACAAAAGATGAACTTCTAAAAACCCTTTTCATGTTATTTATTTGTTGTTGTTTTTTATTGACAGAATTTACTGTTGTTAAAGGGGTCATATGACGTTGCTAAAAAAAGAACATTATTTTGTGTATTTGGTGTAATGAAATGTGTTTATGCGGTTTAAAGTTCAAAAAACACATTATTTTCCACATACTGTACATTATTGTTTCTCCTCTATGCCCCGCCTTTCTGAAACGCGTCAATTTTTACAAAGCTCATCGGTCTGAAAAGTGAGGTGTTCTCTGATTGGCCAGCTATCCAGTGCGTTGTGATTGGCCAAATACCTCAAGCGTGTGACGGAAATGTTACGCCCCTTACCATATTGTGATGCCTTGTCCCAGCGCGATGAGACAAAACCAGTAAAAACCCATTATAAACGAGGCATTTGTTGCATCCAGTGGGGATATTGCTCAGAAGTTATATATGATGTCATGTTATCTTTCAATATTATTCTGTTCTACAGAAATTGGCACATAGACAGGGTGTAACCCTGTGTCCATTTTCTGTTGTTTTTGAAGGGTGGATATTAAGCTTAGTTACATTTCCATGTTATGTACATTTCCCCTGTTATGCCTTAGAAATACTCTACTTGGAGTTTTAAGTATAATGAAGTATGTGAAAATATGTCAGCTTGTCTGTCTTACCTGCTGTGTTTTGTGGTTGTAGATGTTTTTGTATTGTCTGACCTTAGTATATGAACATAGTAAATATACATTACCATTCATAAGATTGGGGTCAGTTTTTTTTATTTTAGAAATTAACACTTTTATTAAACAAACATGAATTAAATTGATTTAAAGTGACTATAAAGAAATATTATGTTACAAAAGATTTCTGTTTCAAGATTTCTTTATCAAAGAATCCTAAAAAAAACTGTTTCCACAAAAATATAAAGCAGCACAACATTAATAAGAAGAAGAAATGATTCTGCAACGTGATCTCATGATAATTCGTATGTATTTTACATAACGTGGTTCTATAAAACATACATTTACTTACGTTTTTACAGGAACTAAAACGTACAGTACTGAAGTATTTTCAGCCTCTAAACATACAAAACTGACGTATTGACGACACCTAAAAATGAATCCATATGAATATTGAAATCGCGGAATTAATTTTATTAGTTTTTTGTTCTCATATGAATTAGCTTGTTTTCAATTGCATTATTAAATTGTTTACTTATAGTTCACGGAGTGGATCAGGAAAATTATCTGGATAATATTTCCAGCGATTAACAACATAAATTCTGCTCTGGATCACACAAACCTACTGTATTCCGCCAGAGAGGACTGCGGGTGCAACGCATCATTTGGATTACATTTGGTGTTGCTTTTGACATTTTTACAATAAATAAATGATTGTAATTGCATTTATCTGTCGGTCATGTTTTTTATACTGTACAGAAATGTTTAGGTTTATAAGTAGGAGTTGGATTAGGAACGCTCATTGGCTCTCGCCTGTATTCGTCACAGATTGCGACATGCCGTGTTTCTGGTGAGGTGTATTTGAATGATGCGCGCGTTCCTTCACGAGTTCACGGAGTGGATCGGGAAAATTATCTGGATAATATTTTCGGCGATTAACAACATAAATTCTGCTCTGGATCACACAAACCTACTGTATTCCGCCAGAGAGGACTGCGGGTGCAACGCATCATTTGGATTACATTTGGTGTTGCTTTTGACATTTTTACAATAAATAAATGATTGTAATTGCATTTATCTGTCGGTCATGTTTTTTATACTGTACAGAAATGTTTAGGTTTATAAGTAGGAGTTGGATTAGAGACTATAAAAATATTTTAATGCTATATTGTTAATAAAATGGTTAGTTTCCTGCATATTTCGGTCATTTGCGTTTTATATCCTTTTATATTCGCTATAAAATGGGTAGGTTAAGGTTTGGGGGTAGGTTAAGGGGTCTAAAAATCTAAATTGCGTATTAATAAAATGATAAAAATGCATATTCACTGTAAAATGGGTAGGTTTAGGTTTGGAGGTAGGTTAAGGGGTCTAAAAATCTAAATCGCTTAATGATAAAATTATAAAAATGCATTGATACGAATATCTTAATTATATAAAAGATACGTAAATATTTGTACGTTTCTTAGCTAAAAATACATAGCAAATGGTACATTTTAAACATTGAAATACGTCTAAATTGTATGTTTTAGCATTAATAAAAACTTACAAAAATTTACGTTTTGTGCTTGTAAATGTTACGTATTAATACCTACGTATAAACATGAGACCAGGCTGGATTCTGGAGCAACAAATCAGCATATTCATGTGACACTGGAGTAATGATGCTGAAAATTCAGCTTTACATCACCGGAATTAATTACGTTAAATACAGGTGCATCTCAGTAAATTAGAATGTCATGGAAAAGTTCATTTATTTCAGTAATTCAACTCAAATTG